AACAAGAATTTAGAGTAGGAATTGTCCCCGAAAGTTGAAGGTTAATCAACAAACAACTATTTTGTGGAATTATTTATAAACCTGAATTTTTACAACCTGAAATTAAAAAACATTGTTTCACACTTTTTTATTTGTCTCCTTGCGGAAACACCAAACAATATTTCTGATGTTGTTCTTGATCTTGATCCAGCGACGAAGGAAAACAACTGAATTTTTACTAATAAACTTGTTTTGCAAATCATAATTAGATRAAACAGTAATCGGTTTTAGCATGCAAATAAAACTCGGGCTAATTAAAATCGTCATTTATTAAAATTAAATAAATTCGACATTGATTTTTTCGAGTTCGGGTTCGATTTTCACGTCATTTCGTCGCATGAAAAAGCTTTGTCTTATCGTTTTGTTGTACAAAAGAATTAAAAATAACACAGCGAAGGCGTTACTACAATTGACAGCATTGATGAAAAAGTCGACGAAATAAATATGAAATCGATAAACCCACGCTATGTCTAAATTGAATCTCAGATAAATAGTGATTAGACAAATCGGTAAATTTGTGATTAGATTGACAATGGAAATCATTAATGCGTATTGTGACGATTTGTGATAAGTGTTGAGAAAGATTTTACACAGAATGAAGATAACAGCAACTAAAATGTAACATGTGGCGTTCACGACATCACATCCGGGTCCATAAACTTCAAAAATGAACTTATTGACAGCAAAATAATAATAAACATAGAAGGAAAAAACGAGTAAAGGCACCGCAATGAAAAAGTACATAAAAGTGTCATATTTTCGTTTCGGTGTTCCAAAATATTTAGAAAAAAGCCACACTAGTGATAACAAAGTGCCGTAATTGCGTCCCACTCCTGATAACATCTGACTCAAAGGTGCCACATCTTCACTGATAACAAAATCAACWTCGAGTAAAACCCCAAAAGACCTCAACAATTTCTCCAATAACACGACGAAGTTTATAAGGGCCCAAATACTGACAATCAAGTTGGTCTTGGTCCTGGTCACTTCATGGTAAATCAAGACCACTGCGATGTAAATGTATGTCAAAAGGGCCAAAGCTTCCAAACTTGACAAAAAAGCGAACGAAAACGTTCCGTATTTCTCATCAAACTCGAATTTTTCGTGCAAAAGGGCGTCGCGTTCGAGTTCGAGGATGTAGCGAGTGTTGTTGGGCAAAGGGTCCATCCTGGAAGGGCTAAATCCGGGTTAGGGCCCCAAAACTAGCACTAGTACTCACTTAAACACTTAAATCGCACTAATGTTTGATTTCTAGTAAACTAGCACAGTTTATCGCGAGTTCAAAGGTTTGTTGATGTGCCATCATCTGACGACGTTGAGGCACTAAGAACCGCCGCTATCTCTCCGGCTAAAAATACAGTTTTTTTTTCTTGAACTGGAAGTGGCTTGACCTTGGCTTGTGTGGAAACCGGAATGGCACGGAAAAATGCTCAAATTATGATTTATTATAATGAAAATAATAGATTTGTTTAGGGTTTGAGCCAGACACGTGGGATTTTTAATTTAATAAAAAATGTTTATTGCGCATTTTAATACGAGAAAAGTGGAGTGGAAAGATCAACCGGGATTTTTGAAATAGTGTGACCTTAATTGTTGTTATCTGGGGTCATGTTTTGCCCAATTATCGCAATTTTCGCGAAGTGAGGATCAACGTCATTTACTGCAACATAAAAACTACTTTTTTGAACAATTTAAGTCAATATAATGGTCCAGGAATTTAAATAAGAATTAATTCAGGTGTGTGAACAAACGTTCAAAGTGGGTCAATATGTCGAACAATAGTCGTCGTAGAGTATTTTAACTGTTTTTTTTGTATTTTCTATTCTCTCTAATAATTAATATTTTGTCTTTATCTTACATTTTTGTAAGTTTTTTCATCTTCTTTTTTTCCTGAAATAAACGTCTAATAAGTAATAAGAAACAATTCAGTCAGAAAATTTAAATCAGTTTTTATATTCAGCACGAAATCAATTTTCGTTAAAAATATTCAATCCTCCGGTGAATTTCCACGTTTCCGGGTTACCGGAGCCTCCGGGCTGYGTTTGTAGGCAAATTGTTTGGAATTTCAAATATGATTTTAGTTTTCGGTTGTTTTACATAATTTTGAAGCTAGTTACAAATGTTTTTCATAAAAATCCAGAGATAATTTCCAAAAACTCTTGTATGTGGAACAAATTA